TGTGGAAGGATTTATTCTCTCACATGACCAACATCCACATCACTCAAATCTCTCTACATGTCAGTCCTTAAGAGAGACCAGGAGAAAGTATATTGAGCTTCATGCACGGAATTTATTATCATATTATTATTATTTGTTCCTTGGGTTCCTAGTGGAACATAGGGTTTCAGTAGCACGTCTCCAGTGCACTCTCTTCTCTGCACTCCATATCACCCTCAACTGTGACGCCCAACTCGTCGTTTTCCATCTGCGTTCCACTCGAAGTCCTGGCATGGCGTGTGATGTTCCCGAATGGTGTTCTCAGTGCATGCGCAATCCTTCTCCACTTCCTTCTGCATATTTCTTGAGTGGTAGATTCCTGATTAGTTTGTTGTCAGAGTTCCTTGTTGCTTATTCTTTCTGGCCATCTGATCTTTAGTACCAGGCGTAGGCAGTTGTTGATGAATATCTGTAGTTTGTTGGAAATCCCTTTCGTAACACGCCAAGTCTCTGAACCATACAGCAGCACTGACTTGACTGAATTCGTGATGATAATCTGCATTTTGTTCAGGTTTCAGGCTAATGAGCGCCTGTCTTGCTGTATTTCCGATCCTGGCTGGCTTTGAAGTCCTCATCTGTGTCGTCTGTAGTTGAAACAGTGCTGCCTAGATAGATGAAAGAGGTTACTTCCTTTAAGTTTCTCCCGTTGATGGTGATTGGTGTTGGTTATTATTGGTTGGGTATCTTCATCACCTCTGTCTTCTCTACATTGACTTGAAGTCCCGTCTTCGCTACCACGCCTCTTCTATCAACTTTTGAGTTTTTGCCTGTAGATCTTTGAGTTTGTGCCACAATATGTTAGACACAAATCATCATGGACGAAATCCAAATCTTCTACTCTCTTTTCCTCGGTCCAGCGTATTCCCCTCTTCTCACTCCTCACTGTTTGTTGCATGATCCAGTCCACTACAGTTAGGAAGATCATGAGTAATAGTAAACGGGAGCCATTTCTTACTCCTTCCTGTCTTCATTTCAAAGGTGTCACTCAGCTTTCCATTGTGGATCACTTGGCGTATGGCGTCGTCATATAGTTGTTGAATGATGGTGATAAAGGTTTGTGACATTAAAATCTTAGTGTTGAAGTAACTGCCAAATTACTTCTTAGTCGACGCTGTCGAAGGCCTTTTCAAAATCAATGAATTTGAGGTAGAGTTGAGTTGACTGTCATTCTATACTCTGTTCTATGATGATGCGTAGCGTTGCAATTTGGTGCACACATGATTTGTACTTTCTCAATCCAGCCTGGAATGCTTGATATAAAAACTCTACAATTGAGTATTTAGTTCATATCTTGTGCGATAAAGATTTCTGAAAGAATTAAAAAGGAATAAGCATTGTACACATATGAATCTATTAGAGAATATAAAACTGATAGTTCTTTGGTAAATATTGGAAGTTAAATTTTTGGATATAGCAATATAGCAATGATTTTGGTCGATTGGATCATGCAGCAAACAGTGGGGAGCGAGAAGAGGGGGATACGCTGGACTGCCGGGAAAGAACCTAGAAGACTTGGATTTCGCCGATGATTACTTGTGCCTGATGTCACATAAACTTGAAGATCTACAGGCGAAGACTAACAAGTTGGCAGAAGAGGCAGGGCAGCGAAGACGGGACTTCAGGTGAATATAGAGAAGATAGAAGTAATGAAGATACCGCACCAACAACTCCAACAACAACAAACTGCCGTCACCATCAACGGGAGAAACTTAAGGGAATTAACCTCCTTCAACTATCTAGAAAGCACTGTTTCAACTACAGGATGTCAAAGTCAGAATCGGAAAAGCAAGACAGGCGTTCATTAACCTGAAACCAGTGTGGAGATCTTCTGCACTCAGAACAAAGTGTAAACAACATCCGGATTTTCAACACCAACGTCAAGTCAGTCTGTATGGTTCAGAGACTTGGCGCGTCACGAAAGGGATTTCCAATAAACTACAGACATTCATCAACAACTGCTTACGCTGGCTCGCTACTGAAGATCAGATGACCAGAAAGAATAAGCAACAAGGAACTCTGGGAACGAACCAACCAAGAAGCTATCGCTCAACAAATATGCATTGGGAGGAAGTGGAGATGGATTGGCCATGCACTGAGAAGGCCGACTGGGGACATCACACGTCAGGCCAGATGCTCGAGTGGAATCCCCATGGGAAGCGACGAGTTGGGCGTCTGAGGTGAGGGTGATATGGAGGAGATCATGCGAGGAGGAAATGCGAGCTTGTTGGCTGTCGTGGAGCCAGGTTGAAAAGATTTCAGAGAAGACAGTTCACTGGAGACGTGCTACTGAAGCCCTATATTCCATTAGGAATGTAAGAGACTAATAATAATAATAATAATAATGAGGATAGGGTTATTGTTCCATATACTTGATTTTCTCTTCACAAGTCAGTCTAAATTTTATCATGAGTACTGCTTGACATGAAACTAGATTGAGCTATATCAAGTTAATCGAAGGAAAAAGTCTGAAAAATTAGACAGTTGCAAAATATATTAAATAGAATGAATTTACAAATGAATTTACCTTTCATTTAAATAATAACAAACAGTTTAACAAAGATGAGAAGAAGATAGCTAGGACTTAGAAACATTGAGTAAAATTTGAAGGAAATGAACCAATCAAGAAAAAAAGGAATGAATTAAACGTCTATAACGTGTTCATTTCAAAAGATTTTTCTTAAAAACACTCATGAAAACTACACTTAATTCACTTTCATCTAAACTATCACTAGGGATAGTGACGTTGTAAAATTAGCTTCAGAAATATCCAAGTTCCAAGTGTAAAAATATTATCTCCTTTGTGTTATATGAGTCTTTAAGTATACTTATGTTCATGAATATTAGAAGTAAGCAATCAATACAATGGTGAAAAGTTTATGAAACTTGAAACTTTATTGTGCATTCCTATGTGTATATAATAAAAATGTTGTGTTTCCTGATAATATAGATAGTTAAATGCAATTGAAATAATAATTTGGCAAGATGAATGAAAAGAAGGTGATCAATAAACACAGTGATATTAGAAATATTCTAGATTCAATTTTGAGGTTTCTAGGTATCTATTGGCTTCAGATTGATATTCATCATGAATTGACATAAGCTTGAGAACCACTGGACACCTATTTCGTCCTAATATGGGACTCTTCAGTAATTTGCACTCATCACTCTATCAGAGGTCGAACCCAGTTACTCATTGACAGCATAGGTTGGAGGTCGCACTATACCATGAACTGACAGAAGTAGGAAATATACATCACTGGGTCCTAACCCAGTGACTCAGTGGTAACATGCTGGTAGTAGAACCTAAAGGTACTGCGCTCGAGCCCTGGAGGACGGGATCATGGTTGTGCACTGCTGAGGAGTCCCATGTTAGAATAAAACAGTTGCCCAGTGCTCCTAGGTCCCAGTAGTTTTTTTAATTGAAGTCACTCTTAATGGATCTTCGAGATTTTATAGATGAAGAGAAGGTACAGTAACAACTAACCTCAACATCATTGACTTCGTGGTTTAATCAAAAATGAATTGTACTTTAAGAGAACTTTCAAATAAGATTCCTATAGGATTTTTATTGCCTTTTGTTGGGTGGATTTCATAGCTATTTCTTGGATCCAACTAAAGTGAATTTATCGGTGGTACTTACAGTCTTCACCTAACTGGATATTAAAACATTATTTCTAAGTTCAATATTTTATTATTCATAATTGTCATTATTTAGTTAATCAGCTTGACAAGTTCGTTTTTATCGGTGGCACTGAGTTTTTTTTAACTAAATATGTCACTATTCAGCTTATTGGTACTGAAAGAAATTTTTACTAATGACTTCATGAAGAATTGAGTCCATAGGTTTCAAATAAGTTTTATGATAACCATCTTCCTATTTATCCATTGGGTCAAAATTCAATACTCGACAACACCTATCATCACTGTGTAATATAGTATGATCTACTAAAGAGATATTTTATCAATTTTAGTTCACTGACATCCGAGGATGACATGGAGGAGATCGTATGAAAGAAAAATGAAAGCTTATAAGCAGTTGTAGAGCCAGGTTGAAAAGACTGCAGAGAATGGAGTAAAATGGCGAGGTGCTACTGAAGCCCTATGTTCCACTAGAAACCCAAGGGACAAACACTAATAATGATTTTATATTTTTTTTTGATAAATTTTGCCTTTGGATAAGATTTTTTTGGTACTACCGAGACAGCATCGTTTCAACTACAGACGGTGCGGACATAGATGAGGATGTCAAAGTCAGTCAGGATTGAAAAGACAGCAGCATACGCCTTCTTGCATTAATCTGGAATCAATGAGTGTGGAGATCTACTGCACTGTAGTCAGCATAAAGAAGAAGGCCAGATTTTGAACACTAAGTCAGTCAAGTCAGTGCTTCTATGTGATAGTTGAGGGACATATTGCCTTACGTAAGCATTTCCAGCAATCTGCAGACATGTACCATCAACAGCTGCCGCCTACGCTCACTCCATACTGAAGATCAGATAGAAGGCCAGAATAATAAGAATAAGGAACAAGGAACTCACTTTAGCAACGATCCAACCAACCCAACCAAGAACCTATCGCCTAAAAAAATATACAGAAAGATTGAATTGGACATCATGCTCCAGGTCAGGTCGTTGAGTGGAACCCAAATGAGAAACAATGAGTTGATCGTCCAAGAGTGAGATGGAGGAGATCATGTGAAGGAGAAATAAAAAGGTTATGGATAGTTATGGAGGCAGGTTGAAGTGACTGGAGAAGAGATATTGAAATATCTATGTGCTACTTAAGCCTATTACTCCACTAAGAATCCAAGGGAAAAATAATTAGAAAAAAATAAGTCCACTGACCAATAACATAAAGGGAACTATTATTTTTACTAAAATACATTTTTACTTACTCATATTAATTTCATACATATAAGATTCTGTATCAATTATTCAATCATCTTTAATTTATTTGTTCAGATTATGTTCTGTACACGTAATACACATAAACCGGATATGGATAAATTATTATGCTATGAAATTGGTTTAAATGATTTTTTATTTGCTCATATAAAAGGACAACCAAAAGAGATTAGTATACGTAAAACTAGTGAATCATTTGGTTTGACATTGACAGATAATAATTGTGGTGTTGTCATTATAAAACGTTTACAACCCGATGGTTTAATGGATAAAGTATCAAAAGCCTGTGATGGACTTATACAACCAGGTGATCAAATTGAAAAAATCAATAATATCTCATTTATTGGAAGACGTCATTATCATGTAGCATCATATTTACAAAGTATTCCTATCGGAGATGTATTCAGTCTACGATTGATTTCACCGGAACGTTCGCCTATATGTAAGTTTTTCAGTAAAAAAAAATTTTTTTATAAAACGATTTCAGTTTATGATTATTTTTTTGATACTGTTTTCTAACTATTCAGTATTTTTAGTGTATGTTTCATTTCAAAACAATGAGATAACTCCTTCTATGAAAATTTAAAACAGTGCATGGATTGAAACCAGTGATTACTGGGTTTCTGATCCGATGCTTTATCATGTCAGAAATCCGATAGTCGCTGGTTCTACTCTGACCATGATCCAAATTCTCATTTCACTTAGTCTGCCAAATTACGGTTGCTATCTCAGATAGTTAAATGTTTGATATATATATATAACAGACAGTATTATTTACTGGGTGAAATTTCTAGCGAAATGCATTAAACTTCCGGATCTGACATAGTTATAGTCCTGAAGGTTAATGATATTAAGAAAGAGAGAGAGGAGATGACTGAGTCTCTGTTTATCATTTCAACACCTAATACATGTAATCAAAATGACGCAACATCAACATTTTGCTACTGATTACACCAATGAATGATAAACAGTTGAACTATAAATAGTCAGAGTAGATAGTTATGTGATTACCTTGACATGGTTATGAGACTGATCTCATGTAGGTTTTTATATAGTAGGTTTGATTGGATCTTGTATACTACTGGGAGCGTGCTGGCGGTTGACACTTCCCAGCTGCCTGCACCGTGGAAAGATATTTCTTCTCAAGGTAACCGAAAGCAAAGACAATTCATGTGGCTACAGAGCTCATGGGATATCTTCTTGGAGCCTGTCATACACAGTCTTTTTGCCGGTTATTGTTTTGATGTTAGGTAGTTCTAAGAGCACATAGGGAAAACCAATACCACCTGCACTAGAAGGCCATAGGGCAGGAAGGAGTGTACTGATTTTTAACCCGACTTGTTCTAAGCAGCAAAAGTGTGGCACTGCTGATCATCCGTGGGAAAGTCTTTTCCTCTGTCACACCCTATCCATCAAGCAGCAGTAAAACTTAGTACTCAGACCGTGATCATTGTGTAGTAATTTACATTACACTACACTACTTTGAAGCACCACTAACAAGGTTAGAGACTATGGAGTGGTATGAGACATTCGACCAACGTCTTCTTCATAGTACAGGCTGCGTATCATGATGCTGGCGTGTCAGTAACATGGAATGCAATCACAGTTTCGTGAAGAATATGAAAGTCATATGATGTAGTTTTGAAGCTTCATAGACTCAGGTGATTGGATCATGTACTAGGTGTGCTAGTAATGTTGGTTGACAAAGCCAAACTGAAGTATGGCATCAGTTCATAGAGCTACTTCCTGTTGATCTGAGTTATGTAGAGAAATACAAACTTCCTGGCTTGCGTCTGTGTGATCACAGAATCCGATGGTTAGGGAATATGGGTTAAGTGATTGCGAATCGATCGCCATCGTGGTGATACATCCATACACTTACTTCATCCTAATCGTCATACACAACTTTCAACTGTAACCTTTTTTTTATTTCAGGAAACCTTCTTTGTTATTTTTTTGTCTTTTAAGCTTATATTTTTTTGCCTTGGTCTGCTAATGTGGGGTGTAGCAAGGGGATCTCAGGTCTCATAGGGATTTAAGCTTGCGGGAAATAGTTAGTTAAAGTTCCACTGTAGACTAAAGCTACCTGTGAAAACTGAAGTGACGTAACATCCTTTTTTAAACCACCCTTAATGGTTACACATATATCATAGGTCTTATATTGGCTATGGTAAAACTGACCTGTATTCCCTATGAAATATTTCTCACACTTATTACATTGATTCTGTTTTTAACATTCCTTCATCCTTGTGACAAATCATCTTCAATATATAATTGTACAACTATCATATTAAAGCATTCTGTGAGTATACTGTTCATGTCATTTTGAAAAGTATCCTCATCATTATGCTAAGCCTACAATTCACTAAGCATAATAACCATATGCTATGATGACGTAATAAATAAACACTGAAATATTTAAACGGATACAAAGTTCCATTTTAGTCGACTTATTATATGTATCAACACAGTGAAAAACAGTATTATTTATTGGATTACATTTCGGACTCAACCTAGTACCCATATTGACATTAAGATAACTAATTCCACAACTATAAGGCATGGTTTATATAGTTCCAATTTTTTCGCCTCCTTCTTTTCGATATATGTTGTAGAATTTTCTGTATATATCCGAAATAGGTGTTAAGGTATTCCTGTTGCATATATTAGGTATTGGTTCGATAGACAAAGATTCAGTTAACAATCTCTCCTCGCACTTTGTTACGTGAGTTCTGAGAATTGTCACCCTTTCTCATCCTATAGTATGGTTGTATCAAGTTCCATACATGATAATGGTCAAACTCTTTTCTAAATGCCTTATCTTACTAAGATATGCCAATTTTGATGTAGTTACCTTTTCTTATGTAAGGATAGCCTAATTGAACCTGATTGACTAGTTTCATCTATGCATTTTACCTCATAATCTTTGTAAGGGATTTGGTAAACCAAATTGTTCTGCTTAAATGGATCATTGGGATATTTTAACCTACGAAGCTTGTTTCTAAGTCAGTTTATTGGTTTAAATGCCACTCTAATCTCAACTAGTCTTAAAGAGAATCGTACGTAGTACCACTGAGTGCCTTCCTTGTATGGTAACCTCGTAAGCATCGCTTCAAACACCAAGACGTTATCTACTATACCACAGATAGAATATAGAAAGAATGTTTCTCTTAACTTGTTCCTTTTTTGTTTTTCTTAACAAACATATAATAATCCATTAACCATTTTATTGTATCACATTTCTTACATTCTATCTTTATGTACTATCTAAATACTATGAATAATTTGTTAGGTTGAAAATCATGATAAACACCAATGTATATAAATTATTTTGAGAGAAATTTGGAATTTGTTCGCTTCGAAGTTGAAATTCACATGATATACATCTATCTTTTCAATGTGTAATTATGAAACAATTTTAAGAGATAATAAACAAAAAAAATTCATGTTGATTTTCATTTTATACTAGGTGGTGAGATGAAAATTTGAACCGCAGCTGCATTCGAACCAGCAACTACCGGGTTACTGGCCCGGTGTTCTACTAACTGAGCTACCAGGTATAAAAGTGGACCACGGTCGGAACTTGTAGGTCAGTTGGTAGAGTATCCAGTAGGTACTGGTTCGAATCCGGCCATGATAGAAATTTTCATTACCTTCAATCATCATCACCCAGTATAAATACTATTCTGTCAAGCTACGGCTATCTCACTCAGATATTCAAATGATAATTAATATGATGCTCCGCGTCTCTGATTCAGTTAGATTTCGATTTGGATGAGAAGTTCTGACTAGACAGTCATTGTAAATATGACCAAGCGGTGTGGTAGTGATACGTCATGAATTCACATGGTAGTCTGACAAAACCCCGCTTGTAATTGAAGTAAAATAAAAGATGTGGATAGCAGTCAGACCTCGTAGCTTATTTGGCTGAGTACCAGGTCGGAAACCCTATGGTTGGTGGTTCGAATCTGGCCACGGTCCAACTTTTCATCTCACCTTCAATCATCATCCAGTATAAGCCATTTTTTATTTATAAACAGTTACTGGAAATACGCAATCACTTAAGAAGTATGAGTCAAGTGATGTTTTTGGGGAAAGGAATCTAAGTATACTGGCCGAAAATGGGAGGAAGTTATAGAAAGGAGACAGTACGACTCATGTGTTACTAGGATTGAGTGAGGCGATTAAAATAACAGTAAGATTTCAACAGATCTGTGCTAATGAGGTCGAGAATTCTGAGCTTAAACACTTAAAACCTGTAACCATTGGCTTCTGACATCAACCGAGAAGTTGATATTCTCATATATGGCTCAGATTGACAGTAAGTAGTTTCATGGATTGATACTATATTGCAGTCTGGCTACCACTAATCTTTATACATCCCAAACTCACCTAGAGTAGCATTGCTCAATTGGGCGATTTGTTAATAGGAATGCCTTATACATGTCTCAGCTCATCGTCTAACTTTCCTAATCTGCCTATAACTCTGCGTTTGGATTCCAAGTTATTGACATGCTAACACTGTGATACACTGTCTCATCTACAAAATTGATGGTGGTCGAACATCTCAAGTTTTTCTAGAAAAGAATGAACTACAGTGAAATACACTGAACACTTAATAGGTAATCGGATATCACGATAGTGCCATAAATACAGTAAGTTGGTCAAAGCCAATTAATTCATTTGGATCTATACTGAGATTTCCTCAGTCACTTAATCACCAGCACTGATCCAAATTCTCAATTATATGAATTGGTCAAGGCTCTCAACCACTTCACTCCCTTCTGTCAAACAGTGTACCGATTCAGATCAGTTCTGGAGTAGCAGTATGTATTTGGGTGGTAACAAATGGATCCCAAACATTCAGACGAGGAAAGAGAGACGTCCGTAATCACCTATATGACAAAATGAGGAAGATCAGAGTGAATGGGCATCCTCGAAGGTCATCACTCGACGTACAAAACTCATCTGACAACTCACCATAGAGTCTAATACTCCGGACAGATGTTCGAATACAGAGCACTCAAAATAGTGATCTATTTATCCCATATCGTTTTTAGTGACAGGCATTGTCATAAGATCTGTCGATCGATGCCTTCTTCAAGTGAAGAAATGTAGTTGTAGTATACTGTGATAGTAGGTGAGCCTACGTTTCAAGATCTGATCGTTACACTCATGGTCCAACCTGAAATCCGCTTGATTTTCTGAAGTTCACTGTTGTCGAGTTTCACTCAGTCTCCGAATTCATTTAGTACGTAGGATCTCATGCGGTACATTGGTCAGACCGATTCTTTAGTGGTTATTACAGAAGGACTTCTCTCTTTTCAAAAATACTGAAACATTTAGTGATTGTGATTACTTAGAGAGGATCATGTATGATTTCCATACGTAAGCTTACGATTCAGTTTACTTGTTCAGTAGTCCGCGTTCACCATCTGTCAA